GTTAAAAGCGCTGTTCTTAACAGCGTTTTCCTTGGGAAAAAAATTAACCCTAGAAGCGCTATTCGTAACAGCGACTTCTTAATCAAAGTCGCTATTTGTAATAGCGATTTTCCTGTTCATCTACTTTTGCGCTCCTAACAGTAAAAGCGCGAATAGTAATGGCGCTTTAGCTTAGTTTTGGAATTCCGTCAGAAGTTGGCCTAGTTTTGGAAATACAATGTAAAAAAGGCTTATATTGGGAAAAGCCTCCGATAGAAGCCTATAATTCAACAAAAGGATTGAATTCCATTCCGCTCAACTTACAAATCATATTCATATAGATAGAACATAATATAATCCCTAAAATAGTTCCCAAGATCACAATTTTGTTATTAACCAACAATTAAACCAAAAGAGGCTAATATAAAGATAGTTCCAAAACTGGGTTCATTTAAGCAAAATTCATCTCATGTTTCAAATAGATTTTCTAGTGTTCTTTCGAACATGAATTGATTGGACCTAATGTGATCATCATTTCAATTTGAAGATGATGAGGACTATAGTAGTGGTGGGGGTTCAGGTTTTCGAGTTTGAAACCCTAGAGAAGATCGGTTGAGACAAACACAGTTCGTGTGCTCCGATCGTCTTTCTCCATTGATCATCTTCACTCCAGGTACTTGATCCATTACCGCTACTGTCGTCTCTAGCGACGACAGCGACGAAGAGATGTATAGATACAAGTGAAGACAAACTCACGCTAACGAATTTGACGGACGTTGGTGGATTTGACGGTGAATTTGACGAAAGCTGGTGGATCAGAACAAACCCTTCGAGAAATCAAAATCATCGACTATTACTAGGTCAAAGAAGAGAGAGAGTGTGGAAGATCTTGTTGACGAACTAGATCTAGGGCGGCGGTGGAGATCGGCGGAGGAGTTTTCGGAGAAGCGACAAATGTAAATGGAGAAGTCCATAAAGAAGAGGGCGATGAAGACAGTGAGGGCCATGGAGGACCGGTGGAGGAGGAGGCGGTTTTCGACGCTTGGATGGCCGCAAAACCACTGCGATCGGAAACCCTAAACCAATGATGAAGAGAGAGAAAGAGAGAGAGAGAGAGAGAGAGAGAGAGAGAGAGAGAGAGAGAGAATAGGTTTTGAGAAATATAAATTGAACAGATAAGAGAGTGATCCAAATAAATAAATGCGTGAATTTTGAGAATAATATGGTTATTTCACAGAATGATGTCTTTATGACATACTATTTAAGAGCTTGGACCTTTGGGTTAAGGAAATCCAAAATTGGATTTTATCGCTGGAGTGTTCTTAAAAGTAAAATAATATATCACATCTTTTTTATTTTTTATTTTTAAACATGTTGAATTATTTAAATATATATAATAGTCTCTCTTATTTCTATTTTTTTTATTAGCAAAATTATAAGTAAAAAAAATGCTTTTTCTATTTAAATAAAATAAAAAGTAAATAAAATATATTTGAAATTTAGTATTATCATTGTAGACAATTCAAAATGACAACATGAGTTATTTTTCTTTATAATTTTCTAACTAAAATGAGATTCACATAATTTTGAATAAAATAGTCCAAAAATTATTTATCCCAAATTAACGATTTGTTAGATTGCAATCTCCTAACTCTGTTGGTCCAGACAAACATATATAAGAGCTTGGAGTTGGGATTGGGACACACACTTGGGAAGCGCCCGCGAGAAAAAAACATGCGAGTCTGGAGTAAACAAGCATCCCGAGCGCTTTACAGCATCGTTGCGACTTCACCATCATCATTCGCTTCTTCATCTTCATCTTCATCTTCATCTTCATCTTCATCTTGTTCTTTGATAGCAAGAGCCCTCACCACTTGGCGGCAATCACACCCTCTGATCCAATCTCCCCATCATGCATTCGGGGCCGTCCTCGAGTGTCCATGGTCCGCCACGCAGCTCCGCGGTGCCAAGTTCCGCGGCTCCGATGTCTCTCTCTCTCTCTCTCTCTCTCTCTCTCTGTATTTTGCAATGATGTGATGTGATGTGATGTGATGTGATATGATATAGTTACTTGTAATTAATAATTGCTCATTCTATGTGTTTGAGGTTTATGGAATGGAATGGAATTTCATAGTTCCATCCAATATCAATTTGATTTGCAATGACCCTTATTATGTGATGATTGCTGTATTCTTGATTTGTTTAGTGTTATTAATCATTTTCTCAATTTGCTCTACAGGTCAAACCCGGAAACGTCATTGAAAGAAAAGGTTTGCTTTTCATTTTCCTTCTACTTTTTATTTATGTATTTATTTATTATTGTTATTATTGGTAACGAGGGAGGGCATCTGGGGCTTTACTTCGATTACCCCCCTTCTAGTATCACGGCTCAACCTTCTACTTATTTCCCAAGAAACTCTCCTTTTCTACACATTTTCACATTCATTTTTCTCATATATATACTTGTACTAACTGTAATGTTTTACACTTTTGTTATCTACGGGACTTGTCATCATACTTCAGGCAAAATTTATCAGGTACCTGATTTAGCATTTTCACATTTGTGTCTTGTTTTTTTTCCTTTCTTTTTGGGATAAATTTTCGTTATTTACCTGTATTCGTGGATATCTAGGTTGTAAAAGCACAGCACACAGTGCAAGGAAGGGGGGGTGCATGCATACAGGTTTGTTTACAAATTCCTTTAGGCTTAGTTTACCTCCAATCGGCATCTAATTTAGACTTGCAATACACATTTAATGTATGCTTTGGTATGTATTCTCTTGGGAATACTTTACAAGCATGTGCTATACCCTTTCTTTACTAAATCAATTGAATCAGTTGTTGTCAAGTTTGCAAAGTTTTAAAAAATTATAGGATTTGAAAGGATCTCCTTTGATAAATTTCACATCGAGTATGCTCTAAGTTAGAAGACAAATGTGTAGATGTTATACTTATATGATTATTTGAATTGACCTCATAAATAATTGAAATTCTCTTATAGAAACGTTGACTTCCTAGCCCAACTAAGAAATGGAAACAAACTTCTTATACTCACTGTACTAAGATATGGCTTTTAACAAAGTCAAACCAGAGAAAACAAAACATGTGGCTAACCCCAAGCAATTGGGTGGGACTTAGGCTTACTTGACTTCACATATACCAATTACTTTTGAAACAAAAAGGACATGAGTTAAAACTAGTGACTAGTAATAAATAGCTAGGTTTTTTTCTATGTAATCAAAATCAAATTAATCAATAGCTGTGGTTTGCGGGTGATTGCAAGTATCTGGGATTACCCTATAGGGGTGGGTCCAATGTGGCCCTATGTCATGGACTAACTCTTTTAGACACATTGGAACAATTTTTTGCCCATGTGGTGCTCAAACTCGACCAAGTTTAAGCTCGTTATATTTCACTGACAATTCGAGTGTTTATCCATTTAAGGCCTAATGCTTTGTCAAGTAAGAACTCCCACGAAGGAAGCTCCGTCTTCCTAGATACTACAAGAGTTGATGTCTCAAGTGCACCAAGTACAGCTTAAGTCGCTTCATAGTGCCAAACTTCTCAAGGTCAATTGGTGCTCATGTTATCAAGGCACCTAGCCACACAAGAATGTACTAGGGAAGGCCTTCAACCTAGCCGACAAGCTTAAATAGCATGCATGGTCTTTGACAACACCTCAAAGAGTCACAAGGTCTAGCAGGCCTCATTTCTTGTATATAAGTCACCGAGGGTCACTCTCATGCCCATGGTAGATTCCTCGTGCATACACGTGTGCTAGATTCTGCCTAAGGCCATTGTGTGTTGGTAGTGTTGCACTAACGTGCCACCCAAGTAAGGCTACATGTCAATCTGTAGCTTGTTTGTAGTGTTACACCATCCCACTTGCTAAGCACAAGGTGATTATTTCATAGTCCAGCTTGATGCCTTCATTCGATAGCCCACATATGTGGTGTTGCCTCTTGGCCGCTTGCTTTAAGCCATGGGACCCCATGTGCAAGTTAAAACCATGCCCCATTTATAGTAGCATTTTAAGCCATTGACAAACTAGGAGGAAACATGACCCATGTCCGAGGAGTCAATCATTTTTCATAAATTTCACAATTTGAGAAAAATCATCAAACTTGGTTCCTTTACACCTAGGCCTAATCCCAATAAAAATCTTGTACCAAACTCTATTTGGCCCTTCAAAACAAGCCCCAAAAACCTGCCTAGCAAGCTACTAGCGTAGGCGTGGGCGGCCGGCAAGGCATGCATACATACGAGCAGGCGTGGGTGGATGGCTAGGCGCATGCACGTAATGGGCTAGACACGTGCATGCAGCATGCTGTTGCTGCTTGGGTGTGTTGCTGGAGGATGTCAACGTGGGTGCCATGTGTTGCTTAGGGCCAACCTTGGGGCCACGTTGAGGCTCCGAACTATCAACTTGGAATCTAGAGGTCATTCACTTAGGTACTTCTAAAAGGTCACACCCACACATGCAAGGGGTCACTGAGTTGTTCTTGAAAGGCAACTAGTGACACCCTGCCTTGGGAAGGTTCCTTGTCATCAAAAAAAAAAAAATCAAATCACCGAACATCCCTTGTCTATTATTTGTGTTGCTTGCAACTTCTTTAAAATAGTGTATTGTGTGGTACTAACCTAACCATACTAGTGGGCTAATGGTTCTGTATCAAATTTACCCCTGTGGGTGTGTGCGCTTGTGTGTGTGTGTGAGCGCGCGTATGTGAAGATTTTTTTGTTTATTTATTTATTTATTTTTTGCGAGAGGAATTGAAGAACAATATTTCATTGGCATTCTTGCAAGAAGAGATTTTTTTTTGGGGGGGCTTGTTTTATTATTATATTGATTTTATGTTCTTTATGTTTTTTGGCAAGTAGATTGCTCGTATATAATTACCATGAAAGCTACTGCATCAATTTATTTTGCAATTGTCCCTTCTTGATTAGACTTGTGATTTTTCTTAAGCCTTAAGCATATCATGACCTTTTCATTTCCCATTTTAAACGGGTATCTTGCTCAAATTATTGTGTATTTAATAGTTGTTTTCTTTAAAACTACAGGTGGAGCTTCGTGATATTGACAGCGGGAACAAAATAAATGAAAGGCTTCGTACAGATGAGGCTATTGAAAGTATGCATATTGACTTCTCAAGTCTTTTTGCAAATATTTGTGAAAATATTTTATATTGTTAATGCATCTTAAATCCTTTTGTTTTTTTGTTTGTTTTGGGTAATAGTCCATGTTGAATGTTGCATAACTGAGTTTTGTTAAGTGTCTTTCTCATTTCTAAGCTTCCATGAGGTTTAATGATAAAAAATCAAACCTCATTCGGAGGGCAATAGGTGAGAGAGAGAAAGAGAGACGTATAATAGAAAATTTATTTTCTATGTTAAATGCTACAGGAAAGAAGTGAAAACAAAAACTCTATTACAAACATCTCAAATATTCATAGATAAATTTGAAATTTTAGGATTTAGTGGAGTAGATATTAAGAAGCTCAAATAAGAGATTAATAGTATGGTCTAATGTGTGCAATAAGGTAGCTATAGAACCAAAAAGGAGAAAAAGAAAAAGAAGGAAAAGGAAGCTTAAGGACGAGGATGTTGTCAACCCAGCTAAGCTCAGTTGGCTTGAGTAGGCTCATCGTGAGGTTTGAGTGGCCCATGACACACTATCTTTTTCTTTTTTTGTTCTCTTCTTTGTTTTTACTTCTTTTTCTTTTTTTTTGTTTTCTGTCTTTGTTTTTATTTTTCAATTTTAAAATGTAATTGGATTTTTGGCCTTCATTTAATTATTTTTTTCGACTCAAGTAATGACCACAAATGTGTTTCATGCATGTTAAGGCCTTATGTTTGAAGTGAATTTAGTTTGAATTACATAATTGAAAAATCATACACATTCACATGCTAACATGTGTCTAACACATGACATTACACATTAAACATAGAAGGGTGGTTGTCACGACCCCAACCCGCCCCAAACAGGATTGTGTAGTGATCGGCTAGTAGTCCTCAACTATCAAAGGTCTGACAGACTCTTAATATAATTGGGGCAAAATTTCTTTAATAGATGTGTGGAAGCCATTATCTGTTATATTGAGTTCGTTTGCAACATCCATTCAGAGCAGTGTATAACAATATGAAATAAAAGTATACATTCTTTTTAATTTCATTATGTTACCTTATTACATAAATGATAAAATAAAATACAACACGTGTCAAAACTTTACAAATCAACACAAGCACACAAGTCTGGCTTCTAATTTAACTTCCTTTCATACTTGAACTCTTCGTCACCTACATATATATATATATATATATAAGGGAGAGGGGTGAGGCATTGCCCAGTGAATAGTAATAAAGTAAGGCGGTAAATGAATGAACATCCATGAGCCTTTAGAAATATAACATTTAACATAACTTGTTCATATCTATAACTTGAACAAGGCAAAAACATTATATAATGATGAGCATTTCATGGATTACAAGGTGCAAGCTATGAAGCACGGACACGGACACGGGACAAGGCAACTTCTAAAAAATGGGGACACGGACATGGCAGGGGACACGACAAATTTTTTAATTTTTTTATAAATATTTTTATTTTAATATACATTAATTATTTTATTTATTTATTATATTTTTTAAATAATTTGTTATTGTAAATAAAAATATATAACAAATAAAGAATAATAAAATATGTTAAAATAAATAAAAAGAAAAATTAGATATTTTATTTTATATATATTTTTTATTATATATGATTTAATTAGATTTCTTTTAAATAATTGGATGATTTATTTTATTTATTATATGTTAAAAAGTTAAGAAATAATAATTTACAAAAATTATTATTATATATGGTATTTTAAGAAATAACAATTAAATATTTTAATTTACAAGATAAAAATTATAATTTATAAATTTTATTATATATATTATATATGATAAATTATATATGATCAATTATCTTATATAAAGTACTTTTTTAACATTCTTAAGTACTTTTTTTTTTCTAAGTATTCCTAAGTATTTTTCTTCTTCTCTAACATTCTTTCTTCAAGGCTTCCTAGCCATTCACTTTTTACTTTATTTAAATATTTAACATAGCGGATTGGCTGGTTTAACTTAGGGTATTTAAAGATGGGTAATAATATAATTATAGCATATGGCGTTCTTTGGGGTGTCACAGTGGTGATGCAGGACGATTGGGGCAGCAACAAATCTGGACTTTTAGGGCTGATTTTGATTATGTTTTATAGCTGAAATCGCAATAAGAACATAGGGTTTTGAAGGGTTTGTATTGGGTGATAAAGGGGCAAGAGGTTAGCATAAAAAAATGAGATTGTGGCACTGTTTTAGGGGCTGTTCTGAGGCTGTAAACAGTGACTCGTGAACAGTAAACTGAAACGTAAAAGAAGAAGAGAAGAAGATAGGTCTACGCATCACACCTAGATTCCATAAGCATCACACCTAGGGTTAGGGTTGCATCACACAAACCCAGAAGAGGCTTCAAAGCTCTAAAAATTCTATAAAATATCAATTCTTCTTTGAATTTAGCCTTCCTTGAGCTTCTTATGCTTTACATCAATACATCAATACATCAACCCCATCAATGGCCATGTCTTGACTTTCATACAAAAATATATATATTTTTGTGTATATATCATATATCTTGTACAAATAACAATATAAAAATGGAAGAAAAGTACACTAATTATATTATTTTATATAACTAGGGTTGAAAATGAAATAAAAATAAAAGGGGCTAGATTCCAAATTATGAAAAGTAATAAATTATATTTGATATATTTTAATGAGAAAATGACTAAAAGAATTAATTTCGGTCCCGATGGATCAAATAACCAAAAAAAAAAAACGAAGGACCGGGCGTGTTTAACATTAACTGGAAGTTAGGGTTTTTAAGTAACAAAATAAGACCCTAGGGTTTTAATAATAATTATTTAGGGTTTAAAAGTGATAACTAAAACACCGGGATCGATTAGGGTTTAAAGCACATCTACTCGATAACTCAGGGTCTTCATTGAAATAAATCTTAAAATTAGGGCTTCAAAGATAATTACAAAAGTCAGGGTCTCTACATCTTTACTTGGTGTTGGTCCCACTAATCTTTGGCATTATTTGCATAAAACCTACTTTTAGTTTCTAACCTGTACTCTTGCACTTGGTAACTTAAAGCTTTTGGTACTGCACCAGGCATTGTTCCCAGTGCAAATGGATTTCAATTGATTATGATATTTGAATTGGCTAAATCTATATAATCTTTAATTACCCACTTAGAGATGGACTGTTAGTTGTTATGCATTTAGAACATTCAACCTGGAGATGGTCTATATATTTAAAATTTATAAAATTTTCATTGCTTAGTAATATTATGTGTCTTGGTTTCTATTGAGCTGTATTAATTATGCGAATTTGGGAACTTTGGGGACTAATGCAAAGCGAATGACTTTCAAATTCTACTAATTCAATACCCTTAAATGGGTTGAATTAATTTTGTTGGCCATCCAAGCGCTCTCTTTGTTATTATTTGATCAGCTGAGATAACGCAAGTTGGTGGGATTACCTTGTTTGTTAAAGGATCTTTTGTGCTTGCTGTTTGCTTTCTCACTACCAAGAAACAAGGCAGCATGTCTAGTGATTCAAAGTCTAGCATGCAGCCAGACATTAGGTTTTGCTGATGATCAAATCATATCCATTTAACTCCAAAACCTCTAGGCTGGGACAGTGTTTTAAAAAGCGCGCTTAGGCGCACGCCTAAGCTCAAGGCGAGGCAAGGCGCAGCTTTGCGCCTCAGGCATGGTGAGGCGAGGCGACATAGGTGAAGCGCTGCCTAGGCGATGAGGCGATCGCCTTATTACGAAGTGCAAGGCGAGCGCCTTGCTAGCATGCAGCCAGACATTACGTTTTGCTGGTGATCAAATCAGATCCATTTAACGCCAAAACCTCTAGGCTGGGAAGCTAACAGCCTAAGAAACGCACTTCAAACCTCTTCTATTATGTGTTTCATTTACTAGTTCTAGCAGTTATCTTCTACTTTGAGCTCAATATATATTTTTGATGATAATATTATTCAAATTCATGGATATCAGGTTATGTGGTATGTAGCTTGATATTTATTGTGTTTGGCACTTCTTTGTGTTATTTTAATCTCATTTGATGTGGTGCAGAAGTATTTGTTGAAGAAAAGCCCTATACATACTTGTATACTGAGGATAACTTTGTGGTGCTAGCGGAGTAAGTTCTGTTTTTTTCTTCTTTTTTCCTGTTCCATTTTCTTATAGTCAAAGATACACACACACATACTCAGAAAATTCACTCCCTGTGTTTTTTGTTTGCAAATTCTGTCAGGCCTAAAACATATGATCAGTTGGATGTGCCCAAGGACTTGTTTGGTGAAGCTGCTGTGTATCTGAAAGGTTGCAGACATTTAAGCCTTGTTTGGTTTGTTTTTTAGAAAATTTTTTGGGAAAAATTCTCTACAAACAAATTTTCAAGAGTAATAAAACCAAACAAATTTTTCCAAAAAAAATCTCAAAATTTTGTTTGGTTACCTAATTTCCAAAATCACTCTCTCTCTCATACGCATCAAATCAATCACTTTTTTTACAACTCTCTTCCCAAAACAATTTTCCAAAACCATTTCTGAAAAAAGGCAAACAAACAAGTTTTCGTACTTTTTATCTCAAAAACTACTCTACAAACACAAACCAAACACACCCTTAGTATTCGGCCTTGTGTTGCATGCATTTCAGTTTTTGCATTTTGAACTTATTGTTTGCAACAAGACATCTTTAATTGGCTGCAATTTTTCTTCTATTAATGTGCCTGTGCCAAAAGATGGGCCTTGTTATCTTAACAAGCAATGCTTAAGGATAAAAGTAAATTTGATTAAGTGGTTGTTTGGCATGTGCTAAACTGCTAGTTTAGCACATTATCCTATTTAGGTCACAGTCATCTTATTTAAGTCAGATCACCTCTTCACCACATCACTTTAAACCCGACCCATATTTCACGTTTTTCATAAAAAGTCAAAAAGTATACTAATCTAGCACTTCCCAAACAACCCCTAAATTAAAATGAATTTAATCATGAAGTTCAATAGCTAACGCTTTACTGAACCATTTGCTTGTCAAGGAAGGAAAATGTTATAGGAAATGGGTGTAGTGCTGAGATGTGCCCATTGAAATAGTAAAAGATCCAAAGAGTATAATGCATTTAGCTTTATAAGCAGGCACTATTCTAGATGAGAAGATTTTGGTTGTCTAAGCTGGGCTAGCATTTGTGGATTGAGATGATGATGATAAAATGACATGAGAGTGAATGATTTAATGAAGGATATAGTGTTGGTTTATGAGTGAAAAATGCTGTACAAAGCAAGTGTAGTTGGGAAGACTCACTTGAGGTGAATTATTATTCTAAATGCTAATAGTGTGAATTATGTAGTTTATATTATTCATTAAGGATAGTTTAGTACTTTAGATTATTAGGGATTATTAGGGTTTCGTTTATATATTTTGTAATTCTTTTGCTTAATCAATATACACAAGTTTTGTCATCTGTTATCATGGTATCAGAGCAAGGTTACAAACAGTAGCATACCTCGCAGGTCATCATCGCAGCTCTCTCTCCTTCTATCGCAAGGCCATCGCAGCTCTGTCTCTCTCTTCGCGAGGCCATCGCAGCTCTGTCTCTTTCTTCGCAAGGTCGTCATCGAAACCCTAGGAAGCTTCCATCGCTGGTCCCTGGTTCATTCGGAGACCTAGGTTGGGTATCTCGCTGATCTTCTCTCTATTTCGACCTAGCTCTTGTAAACGGTGAACCTCCATCACTGCTCTCTGGTGTATAGGTTGCCGTGGTTATGAGAAGAGTGCATTGCTACTCTTGACAGGTCATTCATCTCTAAAGCTCGCGCCTCGCCTTGCGCCTTGCGCCTAGGCCCCGAGAGACCTTCAGCGCCTTAGTGCGCCTTGAGCCTTTAAAAACACTGGGCTGGGAAGCTAACAGCCTAAGAAACGCACTTCAAACCTCTTCTATTATGTGTTTCATTTGTTAGTTCTAGCAGTTATCTTCTACTTTGAGCTCAATATATATTTTTGATGATACTATTATTCAAATTCATGGATATCAGGTTATGTGGTATGTAGCTTGATATTTATTGTGTTTGGCACTTCTTTGTGTTATTTTAATCTCGTTTGATGTGGTGCAGAAGTATTTGTTGAAGAAAAGCCCTATACATACTTGTATACTGAGGATAACTTTGTGGTGCTAGCGGAGTAAGTTCTGTTTTTTTCTTCTTCTTTTTTCCTGTTCCATTTTCTTATAGTCAAAGATACACACACACGTACTCAGAAAATTCACTCCCTGTGTTTTTTGTTTGCAAATTTTGTCAGGCCTAAAACATATGATCAGTTGGATGTGCCCAAGGACTTGTTTGGTGAAGCTGCTGTGTATCTAAAAGGTTGCAGACATTTAAGCCTTGTTTGGTTTGTTTTTCAGAAAAATTTTTGGGAAAAATTCTCTACAAACAAATTTTCAAGAGTAATCAAACCAAACAAATTTTTTCAAAAAAAATCTCAAAATTTTGTTTGGTTACCTAATTTCCAAAATCACTCTCTCTCTCTCTCTCTCTCTCTCATAAACATCAAATCAATCACTTTTTTTAATACTCTCTCCCCAAAACAATTTTCCAAAACCATTTTTGAAAAAAGGCAAACAAACAAGTTTTCGTACTTTTTATCTCAAAAACTACTCTACAAACACAAACCAAACACCCCCTTAGCATTCGGCCTTGTGTTGCATGCATTTCAGTTTTTGCATTTTGAACTTATTGTTTGCAACAAGACATCTTTAATTGGCTGCAATTTTTCTTCTATTAATGTGCCTGTGCCAAAAGATGGGCCTTGTTATCTTAACAAGCAATGCTTAAGGATAAAAGTAAATTTGATTAAGTGGTTGTTTGGCATGTGCTAAACTGCTAGTTTAGCACATTATCCTATTTAGGTCACAGTCATCTTATTTAAGTCAGATCACCTCTTCACCACATCACTTTAAACCCGACCCATATTTCACGTTTTTCATAAAAAGTCAAAAAGTATACTAATCTAGCACTTCCCAAACAACCCCTAAATTAAAATGAATTTAATCATGAAGTTCAATAGCTAACGCTTTACTGAACCATTTGCTTGTCAAGGAAGGAAAATGTTATAGGAAATGGGTGTAGTGCTGAGATGTGCCCATTGAAGTAGTTAAAGATCCAAAGAGTATAATGCATTTTGCTTTATAAGCAGGCACTATTCTAGATGAGAAGATTTTGGTTGTCTAAGTTGGGCTAGCATTTGTGGATTGAGATGACGATGATAAAATGACATAAGAGTGAATGATTTAATAGTGTTGGTTTATGAGTGAAAAATGTTGTACAAAGCAAGTGTAGTTGGGAAGACTCGTTTGAGGTGAATTATTATTCTAAATGCTAATAGATCTTGTCAATGTTTTCACAATAACCTAAGGCCTATAACCACAATCATGACCTGATTGTTGCTATTGTCATCTTTAACCACCACCTTCTCAACATTGTCAATGCAAGATCCACCACCCTGACATCCACCTACATGACTACCTAATGTGATGCGCTACACTATCACCATGCTTTCTCACCACCATTCGTACCTTTGCTTTAGGTGTTACCCTACATACTTCCATTGTGTTGCTCTTACTTACAACTACTTCATAATGCCACATTGGTGGTAAGGCTACTCAGTAATACTTCTTTCCAATTCATTGAAGTCAAAGTACATGTGATGCGGAACGTGCATGCATGCATGGAGATTTGCCTTTAGTATTTTTTATTTTATTTATTTTATTTTAATTGTAGTTTAATCAAGAGTCTTATTTTGGTTAGGAATTTTTATTCATATTTGCTTCCTTTTTTATTAGGATTTAGTTTTCTAAGTCAATTGAGTTTTATTAGGAGTCTAGATCATGATTTAGTTTCCTATTTTGATATGGTTTTCTAGCCTATAAATATTAAGTATTTGCATTTTATTATTTAGTTTTGATTAATGAATTGAGAGTGTTTTAGGCTGTGGTTGTGTTAGGGCTATGGCCCTCTTCTCCCTCATCTCTTCTTCTCTCTTCTTTCTTTCTAAGGTGTCCTACATCTACATGTACACGCATAAAGCATTATTAGTCATTGGAAGCTTCAAAAATACAAAGATTTGTTTTTTTATCATTTTGAAATCATGCTATTGTGACTGTCTTTTTTTTAAGCATCATATGTTTTGTTTTTTTTTTTGTTTTTTTTCCTTCTCTTCTAAAAACTTGTTAGTTTTGCGCGTATGATGTTTGAGACTTGTCCTAATGTATTGAGGCATTGTTTCCCTTTTTAAGATTGAAAATAATTTCGAGATTAACTAATCATTTCTGGAAGTAGCATTTTTATTGCAATAAATTATTGGACTACATGGGGTTTGTTGAAGATAAGATACTATTGTTAAAGATATCAGAATATATGGAAGATATAAGAATATATGGAGATCCCATGATTTATGCTTATCATCATTTTTTGTGTCTTTGATTTATTTTCATCTCTTAATTGAAAGGATTTGATTGTATCTCCCACTTTATATATATGGTGTACCATGCAATCAAGAGGATCCAGTTGAGTGAATGAAATTTGTAGCCCATAGAGCTTTGTATGTGTGGATCAAGTTGAGTGAATGAAAGATGTAGGCCAAGATTGGCTGAACCACTTTAACCCTTTGTGTTCTTTCTTTTCTCTTTTATGTCTTTATTATCTCTTCATATTTAACCTTATTGTCATATTACAAAATTCAACTTGGTATCAAAGCCCAAATTCTAGCTACATCTCATTCATATGTCCTCTATCGATCGGCACCCCTAATGTAACAACCCTCACTTTGTCTTAGTCATGCTCACGTGCATTTGCATGATCTTTGTCTTGCTTAAACTTGCATGCTTTGTTCTTTGCTTAGTTTGTGTTAAGCCGAGGTCACCTTTGAACTTATTACACCTAGGACCATCTTGGAACCACTTCGGTTGACCTCCACCTTTGTCCTGGCATATTGGCCGAGATGTCATCATCCAGGCTGAGGTGTGCATCACCCAGGCCGAGATGTGTATCATCCAGGCCGAGATGTTCTCATCTAGACATCCTAGATCCTTGATCCTTGCACCTAGTGATCTTGTTCCTGGACTGGTATGACCTAGACCGAGGTGTGGCACATCTAGGCTGAAGTGTGGCACAACTGGGCCAAGTGTTATCCTTTCTAGCCGAGATCATTGAAACCCACTTGCCGAAGCCTATGTCCTAATCCGAGATCATTACCCGCTGGAGTGCCCATGTCATCTTACTTGTTATACACACTTTGTCATACTCTTGTCTTGTCAGTCAGTCACCTTTTTGAGGAGGCCCAACCAGATGTAGCCACGTGTCCCAGCAGAGGTTTAAGTCTACTGGCAGTAGAGAAACCTACAACATTTTGTTATATCTTGTTCTAGAGAGAGAGAGAAGCTCTAGGAAGAGAGGAAGAAGAGTTCTTAGAGTGAGAATATATTTCCAAGCGTGATCTTCACACCTTGAACCGTTAGATCCGTGCTTTGAGGTTAGAATCTTGATGTGCTCTTGTTATTCTTTATGTTCATCTAACTACATTGCATGATCTAGCATGATTCATGAGCCATGCATTGATTTGAAGTTTGTTTTAGAAAGAGAAAATGATGTTCTTGTGTTCTTGAAAATAAAACCATGTTTTGATCTGAAAATTTGTATCAAGATCCATGTTTTTGTGTTTGTTTTCATGAAATCTCCAAGTATGGGTACCCAGGTCTATGTTTTCGAACTCATCTCATGAAATCTCCGATTTTGTAATAACAAGTTAAGATTTTAGCATTCATGTTCTTTATGTTCTTCATGTTCCTCGAAGGGAAACCCAGATTTTTCCGACTTCATTTCCCTGAATGTGGTCATCGGGACCACACCTCGGCCAAGAGGTGTGGGACCTCGGCCAAGACCTGGTTGGTGCCCAGTATGTTTTCCCGAGATGAGAAACAGAGTTTTAACTCCCCAACATATGTTTTGCTTTGCCTTGACTTAATTTTGAAAGAGGTGCCGAGATCATTTGCACACATGTAAAGCTTGTTTTAGGAATACATTTTATATCCATCTTTGATCATCTCTTCTTGTCTTCTTGAAATGCATTCAATGGGATTTATTATGTGCTTGTAGGCCTTGGATCCTTGCTTGTAAACCCCACACCCGAAGAGCTATGTGAGTGGTATTTTTAATAAAGCTATGTTATAAAGTTTTAATAAAGCTTTGCTTTACTTTGGAAAAGTATTTAATCAAGCATGAATGACTATCCCTAGTTTCGTATCAAGTATTATATTGTTTTGATAACATTCTTGGAAAGTCCTTAGTGCTAGGGGACTATAATGCAACTAGTACCCTTGTTTTGAAAGTCCTTAGTGTTAGGGGACTATAATGCAACTAGCACCCTTGTTTGAGATATCTCCCTTGTCTTGCCACCGACGGTTTACCGCGTGGGTTTGTCCGAAATGTCATCCCTTGTATTATATTGATGCTAGTAAGCATCCCTTGAAGTTTTGAAAGACTTGATAGACGAACTTGGTTCATCCCTTGATTTTGTACAAGTTATGATATGTATTGTTTTGATAAAGATCTTGGATATCATTCATTTTAAAGCTTTATTTCTAATATCATTCACTGAGTATCCAAGCTCACCCTCTCCATATATATATGTAGGTGACGAGAAAAAAGACGGTGACGCCTAGATGATTATTTGCAAGTTGTTTGGATTCATATTTTGTAGTATCTTGAAGATTATGCTTCTTGGCTTGATCATTGTAGTTCATTTTGTATATGTCGGCTTGAGAAGCCTTTTGATCAAAATGTAATATGTACTCCATTTTATTTTGTATTCAAGTTGTAAAACTATGTTGAGATGTATGACATTTCATTTGATCTATGCACAGCTCTTGTGGACTATTTAGATTTAAATTTATTGCTTTCGCACATGTGAGCCCCATATGTATACTCTGATTGTGTGTGACTTTGTAAGTTGGCCTTTGGTAGTCTCGGATTACTGGCCATCATGGCACCATTCTACTAGGGGCGGATTGGGGTCGTGACAGATTGGTATCAGAGCACGGTTTTCCTTATAGTACATTACTCACACACTTTTAGTCCTAAAGAGCATAGGAATTCCCTTAGAATGATATTAGGATTGCAACATATTGCTTACTACTTGACAAGGTGTGCATCATCTCGGCATAATCGTTTGTTATTTGCATACATGCCTATTTGCTCATTTTGTTTTAAAGTCATATTTTGCATACTCTTAGCATCATGAGAAGGGGGAGACCTCCAGTTGGCTGAGATCATTCCGAGGACAGATTGGACAGACTAGAAAGGTTGGTCGAAGGTTTGGTCCGTGAGTTGAGACAACCTAGGCCACAAGACATTAGTACTACCTCTACTCAGGCAGAGCAGACAAACGGCCGAAATGCAGTTCCGCCTCCACCTCCTCCAGTGCCGCAAGTGCCTCCACAGCCAGCTTTATATGGAGACGGCACGATAACTTTGATCAAAGAGTTCAAGAAAATGAATCCGCCGAGATTCCAAGGGGGTATAGAGCCGTTGAAAGCCGAAGCGCGGGTTCTAGAAATGGAGAAGTTGTTCGAGATTTTTCCAAGCACCGACGCTCAGAAGGTGTCGTTGGCGTCATTCACATTGGATGACGATGCTCGTAGATGGTGGATGATGGTTCGAGAAGGTAATCCGGGTTTGACTTGGGCCAGATTTTTAGAGTAGTTTTATAACAAGCATTTTTCCCTTAGTGTCCGAGATCGCAAGACCATAGAGTTCCAGACTCTGACACAAGGCAACAAGACAGTGGCAGAATACGACCGTGCTTTTACCGAGTTGGCGAGATATGTGCCTCACATGGTCGATAACGAATATAGAAAAGCTAGGAAGTTTGAAAGTGGGTTGCGTGGACCGATACAGGATCGAGTTAACATGCTCAACATGCCAACTTACGCCGGAGTGCTAGACAAGGCCATCCTAGCAGAAGCTAACTTGAACCAATACCAGAGCTCAGCAGAGAGCCAGAGGAAGAGACAAAACTATGAGAATCGCCAGGTACCGTATAATGCCAAGAAGAAGGCGAATATGGGCAGTTCCAGCAACTTAAATCAGGAAGGTGATACTAAGCCGACGTGTGCAAGTTGTGGGAAGCCACATTTTGGGGTCTGTCGTTGGGCGTCAGGAGCTTGCTTTGAATGTGGCGAGATAGGCCATCGTGTGAAGGATTGCCTGAAGACAAAGGCTGACGATGGTAAGAAAAATGGGAACACTTCGGGCTCCGCACAGAAAAACGTCGGAAGGGCGCAGGCGAGGCAGGGCAGAGTTTTTGCATTAGTGCCAGGAGACACCCAGAATGTCGAGACAGTAGTGTCAGGTACCCTTCCAATTTGCTCTCAAGATGCATACATATTGATTGATTCGGGTTCTACACATTCATTTGTATCTGCTAAATTTGCCGAGAAGTTGAATAGGGAACTAGAACCCCTTGGTTATATGTTATCTGTGTCTATTCCATCTGGGAGAACTATGACTGTTGCATTCATTTATAGGGCATGTGTTGTTGTGATTGAGGATGCAGAGTTATTAGTTGATTTGATGCCGTTGAGCATAACTTACTTTGATGTCATATTGGGAATGGATTGGTTAGTAGGAAATCATGCATCCATTAACTGTGTTTCCAAAAGTGTCACATTGAAACCCCCAAACAAAGCCGATGTTACGTTTCAGGGTAAAGGAGTAGTATCTCCACCTTACTTGATCTCATCCATGCAGGCCTATAAGTTGATTCAAAAAGGGTGTCAAGGTTATTTGTGTAGTATACTAAGCAATCTGAGTGGAAACGTTGAATTGGCCGACATCCCAGTTGTTAAGGAATTCCCCGACGTCTTTCCAAATGACTTGCCTGGCTGCTTAGTCGATAGAGAAATAGAGTTTACTGTTGACGTCATGTCGGGAACCCAGCCTATCTCCAAAGCACCCTATAGAATGGCCCCAGCCGAGCTTAAGGAGTTGAAGTTGCAATTACAAGAGTTGTTGGATAAGGGTTTTATTAGGCCGAGCACTTCACCTTGGGGAGCACCAGTTCTATTTGTGAAGAAAAAGGACGGTACATTTCATCTTTGTATCGACTACCGAGAACTGAATAAGGTAACCATTAAGAATAAGTACCCATTGCCGAGGATCGATGATTTGCTTGATCAGTTACAAGGGGCACGAGTCTTTTCTAAAATTGATCTCAGGTCAGGCTACCATCAGCTCAAGGTTAAAGCCGAGGACGTCGAGAAGACTGCTTTTCGGACAAGATATGGCCACTACGAATTTTTGGTAATGCCTTTTGGGGTGACTAATGCTCCTGCAACATTCATGGATTTGATGAATAGAGTCTTCAAGCCATACCTAGATAAGTTCGTGGTTGTTTTCATCGACGACATATTGATCTATTCCAAGAGTGAAATTGAGCATGAGAAGCATCTGAGACTTGCCCTACAGATTTTGAGAGACCGAAAGTTTTATGCCAAACTTAGCAAGTGTGAGTTTTGGCTTTCTAGTATTTCATTTTTGGGACATGTGATTAATGAAGAAGGTATTTCGGTTGATCCTAGCAAAATTGAAGCCATTGTGAATTGGCCGACACCGACTAATATGTCCGAAGTTCGTAGTTTTTTGGGTTTGGCAGGTTATTATAGAAAGTTTGTGAAGGACTTCTCAAAGACTGCAGTACCATTGACACAATTGACTCAAAAGGGAGTGACATATGAATGGACCGAGGATAGAGAATTAGCCTTCCAGGAACTCAAGACGAGGTTAGTTACAGCACCAGTTCTTGTACTACCATCAGGTGATGAGGAATTTCAGATTTATAGTGATGCTTCACATAAGGGTTTGGGTTGTATGTTAATGCAAGGGGGTAAAGTCATAGCATATGCATCTCGCCAGTTGAAGCCCCATGAAAAGAATTATCCTACCCACAATTTAGAACTAGCAGTCGTAGTGTTTGCCTTGAAAATTTGGCATCACTACCTGTATGGAGCTTCTTGCCAAGTTTTCATAGATCACAAGAGCCTAAAGTACTTGTTCACTCAGAATGAATTGACTATGAGGCAGAGAAGATGGCTTGAGTTATTAAAGGACTACGACATGCAGATTCAGTATCATCCAGGCAAAGCAAACTCAGTGGCCGACGCTTTGAGCAGGAAATTAGTTGGGAGTTTGGCATGTTTGGCAACGATTTTAGTAGAGCCGACGATTATTGAGGAAGTGAAGACCAGACAGAGGGAAGATGAATTCTTCAAGAAGGTGATTGATGAGTTTGTCACCAAGCCGAGGTCTGGGTACACTGTTGAGAATCAGGTACTTAAGTTTGAAGAAAGGTTGTGCGTGGCCGACGTCCCAGAGTTGAAGAGGAAAATTTTGCAGGAATCCCATGGTTCCAGATTTGCCGTTCATCTAGGAAATACCAAGATGTACCAGGATGTGAAGCAAACTTTTTGGTGGCCAAATATGAAAAGAGAAATAGCCGAGTTCGTATCCCAGTGCCTATATTGTCAACAAGTGAAAGTAGAGCATCAAAGGCCAGCAGGACTTCTTCAACCTTTGTTAATTCCCGAGTGGAAATGGGAACACATCTCCATGGATTTTGTTGTTGGTTTGTCGAGAACACAAAAAGGTATGGATTCGATTTGGGTTATCGTTGATAGATTAACTAAGTCAGCACACTTCTTACCTGTTAAGACTACGTTTAATGCCGATCGACTTGCTTTGTTGTATATGAATGAGATTGTTAGACTTCATGGAGTGCCGATGTCCATTGTGTCAGACCGAGATCCGAAGTTTGTCTCTAGGTTTTGGCAGAGTCTACAAGGAGCTTTGGGATCCGAGTTGAGGTTTAGCACTGCTTTTCATCCCCAGACCGATGGGCAAATAGAGAGAACAATTCAGACACTTGAAGATATGCTTAAACTATGTGTATTGGACTTCAAGGGAAGTTGGGAAGTGCATTTGCCATTAGTAGAATTTGCTTACAACAACAGTTATCAAGCTAGCATTGGCATGGCGCCGTATGAAGCTCTGTATGGAAGGAAGTGTAGATCGCTGATATGTTGGACCGAAGTAGGAGATAAAGCTTTAATCGGTCCCGAACTGGTTCAAGTGACAACTGAGAA